TCCCTTTCTCGCCGCGCCGCGTCGGGAACGACTCCTGCACCGCTAGGTTTCTTGCGGCTTGTTTCGTTCGAGTTCTTGATCTGCTCGTCTCGCGAGTCTGATCCGCCAAGATCGGATTTTTAGTTGTGTTTACAACCAGCGCAGTCTGATGCGTGCGAGTTTCTTGCCCGATCCGTGTGTCAAACAAGCGATTCCTTGATCTTTACTCATGTTTATCTTTCGTGATGTCCAGGTGCCGCAGGGAAGCAGAAGGGCGCCGCCGCCGGCCGCCCCGCTCCCGGAGGAAACAGGCGGGCGCTAGGGGACATCGGCAACGTCGTCCACGCCCACGTCCTCGACGGGTAAGGAAATCAATCAGCGCAAGGATCGAATCCCGTCCTGCTTTTCTTTCTCCCGTTCTCTGTCCTGAACTGAATCCGTTCTTGTTCGCTGCAACAGCAAGATCCAGCTGCCGGCGGGGATCAATCGCCCGATCACCAGGAGCTTCGGCGCTCAGCTTCTGAAGAAGGCCCAGGCCGAGCCATCAAAGGTACGGACACGAGCCGAGCCCCCTTTCCGATCCTGCACGCCTTGCCTCGAAGGCAATTTCTTGATGATGGATTTCGAAAGCGATTTCTTGATGATGGATTCTAATCTGAATCGATTTCTTTTCGTGGTTTGCAGAACGGCGTAGCTGTTCCTCCAGCAGCGCGGGCCGCGCCGAAGCCGGTGGCCAAGAAGGTCCCTGTCAAGCCCGCCGCCGTCCCTCGCCCTGAGCCGGCAGCCGCCAAGATCGTCACCGGCTCCGACGAAACCAGGAAGCCATCAGAGGTCTCTGCCCCCAAGACCTCGAGGAAGAAGGTCGTCCACACCCTCACGACCGTGCTCAACCATCGGTCCAAGGTGAGCGACCCGGCCCATCCAACCAACACCTCTCTCTGTCTCTGTTCTTACTGCCCATCCCAGTAGTGCCTTAACTCTGCTCGCGTCTTCTTGTGAATGGCAGGAGGCCTCAATCGACGATATTGACAAGCTCGACGGCGACAACGAGCTTGCCGTCGTCGACTACATCGGCGACATCTACAAATACTACAAGGAGGCACAGGTATAACCGCGAACCTTCCCCCACTTCAGGATTTCTGCAAGCAACTGTTCTGACGATGTTCACCAATCTGTGTTGTGTTGCAGCACGAGTGGCGGCCGATAGATTACATGGGCAGCCAGACTGAGATCAACCCCAAGATGAGGGCTATCCTGACAGATTGGCTAGTGGAAGTCACCCACAAGTTCGAGCTCATGCCCGAGAGCATGTACCTGACGATCTACGTCATCGATCGCTTCCTGTCCCTGCAGGCGGTGCCGCGGCGGGAGCTGCAGCTCGTCGGCATCGCGGCCATGCTCATCGCCTGCAAGTACGAGGAGATCTGGGCCCCTGAGGTATATGGCCAAACCCTTTCTCTCACCCCCTTTGCATCCATCGATCGGTGTTCGTTTCCAGTAGCTGCCTCAATCTGTTCTTGTCTGCCTGTGAACGAACGCTGAATCTGAAGTGTCTGTCTGCAGGTAAACGACTTCATATCCATCGCCGATAACTCCTACTCGAGGCAGCAGATCCTGTCCATGGAGAAGAATATCCTGAACAGCATGGCGTGGAACCTCACCGTCCCCACCCCGTACGTCTTCCTGGTGCGGTTCGCCAAGGCCGCCGGGAGCGACAAGGAGGTAAAAAGATTAAAAGACCAGCTGCATTTTGATTCTGAATCTCTGAAGTTGCATGTGCCATGGAATTTGCGTCGTGCGTATGCTGAATTTCGTTTCCTCCTGTTCTTGTTGTTGAACGCAGCTTGAACATATGATCTTCTTCTTCGCCGAATTGGCGCTCATGGAGTACGGCCTGGTGACGGTGCGCCCCTCGCTGGTGGCAGCTTCTGCCGTGTACGCTGCCCGGTGCACGCTGAAAAGAAGCCCCATCTGGACTGAAACCCTCAAGCACCACACCGGATTCGCTGAACCGCAGCTCCTGTGAGTGATCCATTCACCTGTCCCTCTGTTGTACCTGCCTGATCAACTTTGCTGAATGGAAATTCTATCTGTTTGTTGGTTTTCAGGGAGCCTGCAAAGATGCTGGTCATGGCACACGCAGCTGCTCCGGACAGCAAGCTCAAGGCCATCTACAAGAAGTACTCGTGTGAGCAGTACGGGCGTGTGTCCCTGCGCGCCCCAGCAGTGGCCGCTCCTCAGCGCCTGGCCTAGTCTGCTTTAGGAATTGCTGCTCGGCTTTCGATCTTGAAAGCTTGGTTACTTACTGTGTTACTGTCTGATATGATACACCAGGGTGTAAACAACAATTATATTGAGTTCATTCATATCATATATTTTAGCGATTTGCTTGGCTTTCGAATCAAGAGAGCTGGGTTTACTTACTCTGAGTGTAACAACAACAATTCATACTACTCTAGTTTGAATCGAATTCAAAGTATTCTTGTTCATGTTCTCTCGGTGGTCTTGGTTCAGTTTGTGTTTGTTACAGTTATCCAGTTTTTTCTTTTGTTTGCCTTCCACTGTTTGGATGGAACTTGCCTGATTTTGTACTTAATCTCAGCGCCTGGCCTCCTCCAAAAAAATGCAGCAACATTAGCCACAAAAAACATTTTTCCCATCTCAAGAGCGAACATTTTTCCCATGGCAAGTAATTTGCATTGCGAAAAACACAGCTCAAACTGCCGCTCAGGAAAAAAAAAGGAGCAAAGAGGACAGATTCTTTCCAGGAGAAAATTGAGTTCATTGCTAGAATTAACATAATTCTCAAGTTTATTTCGCAGTCCCTTAACATTATGACCTGACTCGAACCAACTAAATATCGGGGCCAACGAGGTGTTTTGACCTCCTCTCGATGAAACTCGCCTCCACGGAGTTCAACGTCGCTAGCTTCTTATTCGCTATGGCTCCTTCGGATGAGCGATCGGCGACTCTGGGGCTTGCAACCCGGACGATTTAGATGATGTTTTTGGGCAACTTGATCTGGCGAAGGAAGAATTCTTAATGGACGTCTGGAATCCCATACAGGAGGTGCGTTCCCGACTGGTTGGCGCCAATCTCTTTTTATAAAGCCACCAGGCCACAGATTCAAACATCCCAAACAAACAGCCAACCAGGCAAGTTCAACAATAAACATTAAAGACACAACTTGCGACGACTCTGATCT